TGTCTCAAAGCATAAGCCAATACATTCTTTTGTTCATTGGAGCACAACTCAAATCTTTTTTTGATGCATCACGGTAGACATTATAGTTCTCATCCGAGTTGGGAAGAACTAGCACAACGACGTAGTCAACCTATTCTTCAACTCTTGAAAGCTTGCTCCACACTTCGATGTCCATACAAAAGTTCGGTCTTTCCTAGTTAGCGTTGTCAGAGGCTAAGCTAACTTCGAAAATCCTTGGGTGAATTTATGATAGTATCCTACTAACCCAAGAAAACTTCTAATTTTTGTCACATATTTCAGGGAATTCCATTCCATCACGGTTCCCACTTTCACCAGATCCATTGCAATTCCTTCTTTAGATATCACGTGCTCGAGAAAAATCATCGACTCTAGCCAAAATTCACACTTGGATAGTTTGGCATAAAGTTGGCTGTCCTTGAGAATATGCATCACAATTCTCAAGTGTTTGGCATGCTTGCCTTGGTCTTCGAATATATCGAGATATCATCAATAACCACCACCACAAACGAGTTGAGGTACGGATGGAAAATCCTATTCATGTAATCCATGAAAACTACAGGAACATTGGTTATACCAAATGACATTAGAAGGTACTCGTAATGGTCATAGTGCATATGAAAAGTAGTTTTTGGTATATCATCCATCTTAACACATATTTGGTGGTATCCTAATCGAAGATCAATCTTTGAAAACGTAGTAACAAATCTTAATTGAACCAACAAATCGTCACTTCTTGGCAACATGTACTTGTTCTTGATGGTGGCCTTGTTCAACTATATGTAGTCTGTGCACAACCTTATATTGTCATCCTTATTATTCACATAGCATCCCATGAAGAAGTAATCGAACTCACAAACTATTTATGTGACAAGTCTTCCAGCTGCTTCTTCAACTTTGCTAATTCCAACGGCGCCATTCTATATGGAGTTGTGGAGATCGATCCTATTCCAAGAACTAGATCAATAGCAAAATCGATTTCTCTTACTGGTGGTAAACCAGAGATATCCTTAGGGAATACTTCCGAAAATTCACAAACAACAGGTAAGCTTTGCATTTCTCTTCCACTTTCTTTCTCCAAAGAAGCTAAAAGCATGTACACATGAGCTCATTCTTTAAAAAAGCCTTGATTTGATTGGTAGTCGTGTGTTTGGGCTCATAATATGACTCTAGAGGGTCTTAGGGTCACTAAAGATCATTGTTTTGTCAAAACAATTCAAGAGGACATGTTTGTTAGACAACCAATCCATTCCTAAGATAAAATCTAGTTGAGGTCAGGGTAGACATATCAAGCCTATTAGGAAGGTTCTATCCTTTATTGTTACTGAGTATTTAGAGCACATAGTGGACACTACTACTGGCACATTTGTAGGGGTTGAAACAATTAAATCATAAGGTAAGGGATCTATAGGTATGTTCAATCAGTTAACAGGATCATGAGATATAAAAGAATGGGTTACACTGAAATCAAACAACACATATAAGGAAACCTCATTAATAAGACATGTACCTTGAATGAGGTCTTCTAATTCCTTGACCTCAGCACCACTCATGGTGTAAGGACCTAATTTCTACCAATGAAATTTTTTCCTTATTTTAATCTAATTTCATACATTTTCCTATAATTTACATTTACCAATCGAATAACCTTATGTTAAAATCTCGCTGTCGCGACCCAATTTTCGGTTGGAAGATCGGTCCTGCGACTTGGGGAGAGGCAAATTCGATTTCTACTTCTTCCAATTGTTTTGGAGTCGCCACTACGTTTTTGCGGTTAAAACGTAGAAAACTCTAAATATGCCCAATTAGGATAATTTGATCTTTAATCAGAGATTCTGAGCTCGGGAGTCGATTACAGATCGGGGAAGGTATTAGCACCCCGTCTGCTCGTATTAAAACGGTACCCTCGCTAATAACATGAACTTTCATACCCTGAAAATTATTTATTAAAATTCAGTAATGAAAACAAAATGTTTTATTTTTATTGTTGTGTTTGACAAGAGTTCGTCTTGCTCCTACGTATCCCAAGGTGCAATAGGGAAATCAAGGCTACGTAGTTCTGGTTCGAAAATCAATTAAATTGGTTTGGACAGTTTAAAATGTGTTGAAGTTGTTAAGTCATACCATATGGTTTTTTTACAAAATACTTTTGATAAGGAATTAATAGTTTAAAGACAGTATTGGTCGCTCACCTTCTTCCCGTTTTCAGAGAAGTCAGAGTCTACTCGAACCATGACCTTGCTATAAAAATTCCATTAAAATTCGTTTGAGTATAAATTCATTTACAGAATATATTTTCAATGACATAAAAACCATATAACATTAAAGTTGGGTAAACATGTAGCAGTAGAATTAAACAAATAATTATGAACACAAATAGGGGTATGAGGTTAGGTAAAATGCTTGTGGGTAAGATAGTAAAAACACATGGATGGGGTTAATTGAGGAGGGGTCATAGTTACCCTCTTTATTTTCTGCAAAGTAGAAATTGGAAGAGGGATTGAATCCCTAAAATCCCGTTTTCCTCTTCTTCTCTTCATCTCCTTTTCTCTCACCTAAGCGGCGGTATTGGCGGAAGAAGGTAGCAACGGCGGCGATTCAGCGGAGCCTCCTTCACCTCGGTTCGAGGTAATCCTCTTCTCTCTTCATTCTCAATCCAGAGACAGCAGCGAAGGGGAATCGAGACGCAGGGATTCATACGTCTCACCATGGGTTCACGGTGGTTCTTGACCAAGAGCAAGGTGGCTCAGGTTCGACTCTCTCCCTTTTATCTTCTTCTTTCTTTAATCCCATATCCATGATCTCTCTCCTTAGCTTCTCAATTTTGTTACTGCTAGGCTTCGTTGACATTAAAGTTTTCACACCTTGCATTGAGGCGTGTCACAAGATCTTTATGATGATGGCAATGAGATCTCAGATCGGAACCGAAGGGGACAAAGGGATTTGTTACGAAACTACTCCCCTTTTATGCTGGTATTTTGCTTAATTTTGTTGTTCGTGCTGATTGTACGTGACATATAAAATTGGAAGGGGATGAAAACCCATTCAGAAACAAATCTTGTTGAAAACCAAATGTGCCGCTTAGAGCACTTTTGTTTTTGTTCTACCTCCTTTCGTATGAATCTTTCCTTTTCGGACTCTCTTTGATTGCTGCTTGGTGTTTATGATGTGAGTTTTGTTATGGACTTGTATATCTATGGGCTTGTGTTTTTGTAGTATGATGTTCTTTGGGGTTGCTTCAATATGTATGTGTGATGCACAGAAAACAGTAATGACTTTCTGAGAAAATGTGTTATGAGTGGGTTTTTTGTTGCCTATACGTGGTATAGGAGTATTGTGTATTTGGGACTGTCAGTTTAAAGAGTTAGGAATGTGGGTGTGATGAATAGTGAAAGTAAGAAACTATTGGACGTGTATCATGAGTGTTGGTATGTTGGGTGCAAAAACTCACTGCCCCCGCTTTGTGTGATCTTATGGCTATTTATAAAGGGTCCTGAAAGAACCTTTTGGTCTGCCAATTAGACTTAGCAACTGTCCATAGCTTTTCTTATCATTTCCCTTTAGAAATACCCATCAATGCTGCTTAATAATTCTGATTGTAACTGAATGCCATAATGCTGCCTATTGATGTTGCTTATGCCTTTAATGTCGCTTATTACTGTCTGAGGTGTAACTTGTCTAAAGGTGTGTGTATAGAGTCAATAATTTGTTGCCTCTTGGGCTCTTCTAATTGCACTTCTCGGCTGGTCATCCCTTTTGCATTCTCTGATATTTTGTGCTTTTAAAACTAGTCATCAATGCTTGTAACTGAAAATGCCCTTTCTGATATGATTACTTGTTGTCTTATGACCTTTTGGGCTGTTTATTTTCCTTTTGAATTAACTTCGTAATTGCTTTGTTAATACCTCTTGTTCTGATCATTCGTTACTGATTTTGTCATTTGATGTGCTCATCACTGCTGCATGTAACTAAAACTAGGATATGATGCTTGGTTTGCTTATGTTTCACGGCTTCTCTTTCCAATTAACACTTTTAACTTGCAATGACTTCCAATGTATTGTTTCAATTACTGACTAATGCCACATCATGTAGGCACTTGTAATTCAAGGACCAAAGCTGGCCATAATGATGAGCCAAGGAAATAGATTAAAAGCTCCAATCAATGGTGTTGCAAAAGAAATCACAATAGCAATTATGCAGCACCGAATACGTGAAAGGATTGGCACACATGTAGCACTGTCAAGTTGTTCTGCATTTTTGTTGTTTTTTCATTTATATGTAGCACTGCTGGAATTTACCCCATGATAATATCAAATAGATTTGTTCCATATGATTGTATGATACCCAAACTATAAATTGAGGAGTAGTTTTAGTAGTTTCAGTGATGTAGCAGAGGTACCTTAGAATCAATAACAAATATATTTTTACCGCTAACATAGGCAAAGTCACATGAGAACTCATGAGAATGCAACCATCAATTGGGATTTGAATGTCACCAGATATATAAGTTGATAAAACTCAATCTAAACTTTTCATAATTGCAACTTGTATTTTTATTTGATTTCACAATTAGGCCGGACAAAATGAGGTGTTCACTCTCGCTTTCCCCTTCTCACTCAAACCATGAACTCATAATGACATATACATTTTTTTGACAGAAAAACATAATTCATATTAATGCATTCGGGTAACTACTGCATACAACTAGCTATGGATTTCCAAAATACTCATAGCTACAAATATCCAGAGTTACAATTATCCAAAAAGAATGATAGCGATCATAGTTACAAATACAAGTCCACAAAATATTCAATCAAGATGCAAAAAGGTGTAAATAGAAGAATTCAGGTTTAAGCTCCTAAGGCATCAAACCCAAGCCTCCTCAATTTACAAGTCTACATGCAATGAGATTATCGATGACAAATACACAAAACATACAAAGGAGTAAGTCATTAATTCAATAAATATCATTAAGCGATAATCCACATTTTAAAAGGGTTAAATAAACGACTTGGCATTTGAATATAAAATCATCATATCATATTGTCCATCTCATACTACCTCATTCATCATCTTTTTTCCATACATTCATCCCTATCATACCTTGTCACTTTATTCATCAATACCACACATATCGTTACCTTCCACATATATATTTACCTTTTTCATTACCACATGCGGCAAAACATACAATTCAATACCACGTAGGGCAAGTCATACACAATACCACGTAGGGCAAGTCATTCTCATTACCACGTAGGGCAAGTCATTCACAATACCACGTAGGGCAAGTCATTCACATTACCACGTAGGGCAAGTCATTACAATACCACGTAGGGCAAGTCATTCACAATACCACGTAGGGCAAGTCATTCACATTACCACGTAGGGCAAATCATCTCAAATCATATACATATTCAGAAATTCCACACATTTTCTATCATCATATATAATTAACAACTTCTCCTTACCTTGGTGGGTGTCGGGGTGGCTTTTGGGTAACTTTGCAAGTTTCTCTGCTAACTCCTCCAACCTTAGGATCTTTCCTCATCCCCACCAATCAAAAACAAAAGTCAGTAATTTATTCTCACAACATATAAACACTCATATATCATTTTGTAAACATATAGAACATTCACACATATCCAATATTTTCCAAAACCACTTTCATTACAAGTTTCCAACAGTAAAACATACATATTTACTCTCTATTTTTGCATTAGAACACCTACTCATCTTTTCCATCTAACATTTTACCCATTTTCCCCTTTTGACACGTTTTCATTTTGGGGGTTTTGGAGTTTTCATGAATCAACCCACAAAATCTTTCCATTCACTAAATACCAACTCTAAACTAAGAGTTTTCAAGAGAAAAACAACATAAAACGAACCATAACTCTAAAGGATGAGTTTCCATGGTTTCTCACGTTTTGAGAAGAGATCCAACATACCCAAAACATGTTTCAAAGGGAAGAAGAGAGTTAGAATCAAGAGTTTTACCTCTTCTCAAATTTCTATATGAGTATCAAAGCTCTTTGCCCTTGGAAAAGCTCTCCTCTCTCAACTCTCTTCAATTTCTAACCCTAAAATGTGTTTGGGGTTTCTCATTTAATGCAACTCGTCGGGTTCTCACTTAAGCAAGCCCATTCTCGCTCAAGCTAGAAAATCCCGCCCATTTTAAAAACTCATATTTGACCCTCTCACCTAGGCGAGGGAACTCTCGCTCAGGCGAGGCAGCTCTCGCTCAAGCGAGGATCTTACAGCCTCGACGAGCCCAAAATGTCACTTTTCTCGCCCAGGCGAGACAACTCTCACTCAGACGAGAACACTCTCGCTCAAGCGAGGCAACTCTCGCTCAAGCGAGGCAACTCTCGCTCAAGCGAGGCAACTCTCGCTCAAGCGAGAATCCTTCAGTATAGCCCAAGATTTCACCCTCACATGTGAGCCTTTCTCGCCCAGGCGACAATCCCTCGCTCAAGTGAGAATCCCAGAACTGATACTATAATTTTAAAGACTTAAATTAAGGGTGTCACACATGGTGTAAACTTTTCCTTTTTCCTGGGTCTGACTACTTTGACCATATTTACTCATTCCTCCTTCAACTGGGGACAAAACCTGTTAATGTGACCTGGCTGGTTGCACTTGTAACACATAGGGCAGTTAGGACTAAAATGCTTTCCTTTACACTTTTGGCATCACGGGGTGTATTTGTTGTCTGGTTACTAGCATTTTCGGGTCGAAAGTCTTGACTGTTGTAAGGCTTGAAATTCTTCTATTGGCTCCCCATGGGCGGAAAAAAAGGCTTCTTGTTGTGTTGAAAAGATTTCCCTTTTCCCCGACCATGCCTGAAATTCCTATGGGGTCTATAGGAGTTTCCTTGCGGAAATACACTCCTTAGTGATGCATTCCTAGCCTTCAAAATAACCTCATACATACGATACTTGTTGACCAGGGTAGGAAAATCTGGAATATGCTAGTTCGTCCTCAAACTTAGCACACTTGGATCTCTTGTTCCCTTCCTAGTCGTAGTAGGGAACATACTTGTCCAAATCCTAAAATTAGTCGCGTATTCCCCCACTAACATATTCCCTTGTTCTAAACGTAAGAACTCCATCTTCTTCTTTGTTTTTGTAAGGACCCAAATTCTACCCTTGAAATTTTTTCTCATTTTAATTCAATTCCATGCAATCACTTACAACTCACATTACCAATTTAATATCTTTACTTCAAAATCTTATTTCCCCTCCTCACACTCAATCCATGAATCAATAACAACATACATAATCATTTTACTTAGAAGTCCTCATGAATCATTCCTTGAACTAATCTTTTAACCTATTATATTATCATACAATTAATATTGCAGAAAAACATAATTCATTCATATCATTTTCTATGAGTACTAAGACCTCAAAGGTTCTGATCCTCCAAAATAACATTACGCATGGTTACAAATATTCAACTAATAGTTATCCATGATTACAAACATTTAAATCCACAAGTAGTCATTTAGAATACGAAACATAAATAGTGAATCCGAAGTCTAAAGCTCCTAAAGCTCCCGACCTAGCATACTTCATCCATCTATTTACCTTCAATGGGATTATCAATGACAAAAGTACAAACACACAAAGGAGTAAGTCATTAATTCAATAAACGTCATTATAAGATAATCCACATTAGAAAAAGGGGTTAGTAAACCATTTCGAAATTCATTTTGTCTTGCTGCATAACTTGAGCCAAAGTCGCTACACCCCTTAGGGTTAGCTAAAAGCAGATTCTCCTTTCTTTTAAAACAAATACGCTTCTATACTCAAGCCAGAGTTTACGCTTCTATACTCAAGCCAGAGTGTATGCTTCTATACTCAAGCCAGAGTTTACCCTTCTATACTCAAGCCAGAGTGTATGCTTCTATACTCAAGCCAGAGTGTAAGCTTCTATACTCAAGCCAGAGTGTACGCTTCTATACTCAAGCCAGAGTGTATGCTTCTATACTCAAGCTAGAGTGTATGCTTCTATACTCAAGCCAGAGTCGCTAACCATTCATGGTCGTCTAAAACATATTTCCTTTCATCAATCTCCTCATAAATCATTTTCATGCTTCTATACTCAAGCCAGAGTGTATGCTTCTATACTCAAGCCAGAGTCACTAACCATTCATGGTCGACTAAAACATATTTCCTTTCATCAATCTCCTCATAAATCATTTTCATGCTTATATACTCAAGCCAGAGTCGCTAACCATTCGTGGTTGGCTAAAACATATTTCCTTTCATCAATCACCTCATAAATCATTTTCATGCTTCTATACTCAAGCCAGAGTAGCTAACCATTCATGGTTGGCTAAAACATATTTCCTTTCATCAATCTCCTCATAAATCATTTTCATGCTTCTATACTCAAGCCAGAGTCGCTAACCATTCATGGTTGGCTAAAACATATTTTCCTTTCATCGATTTCCTCATAAATCATTTCCGTAAATCCACACCAACATTAGTATAAACACACCCATATATGTTTATACTAAACTACGTGATTCACCACTTAATTATGGCACAACCAGAAAATACACATATTTTTCTTTTTCGTAAATCTACGCCTACTTTAATATAAACACACCCATATATGTTTATACTAAATGCTTAATTTACAACTCAATCATTGCATCTTTAGAAAATACACATTTTCCATTTCAAATGCACAAATAAAGACTTATCCTTACCTCGGTGAGTGTTGGGTTTGGTTCTTGGCAACTTCTCGAGTTCCACCGACACCGCCTCCAACCTTAGGATCTTTCCTCATCCCACCACATAACACAATGTTAGTCATTTATTCCAAATATCACATAAACAACTTATATTGCATCATTTAATCATACAAAATATTCATCATCAATATTCAACCATCTAAAACATGCATAACATCTCATATTTCAATATTTGGGGGTAAACTCATCTTCTACCTCTAGCATTTTACTCATTCTCTCCTTTTACCACATTTTCACTTTTAGGGTTTTTCTTTTGGGTTTTCATGAATCAACCCACAACCCTTTCCATTCTTGAGATACTATCTCTAAACCAAGAGTTTACAAGATAAAAACAACATAAAATGAACCATAACTCTAAAGGATGAGTTTCCATGGTTTCTCATGTTTTGAAAATAAATCCAACATACCCAAAACAAGTTAGAGATGAAGAAGAAGAGTTATAAGCAAGAGGTTTACCTCTTTTCAAGCTCTAAGATGAGTCCTAAGGCTCCTTGCTCTTGAAAAGCTCTCTTCTCTCTCTTCTCTTCAAAGTTCTAACCCTAAAATGTGTTTGAGGTTTCTATTTTAAAGAGCATCGTCGTAAGTGTAATCTATTACCATCTGGTGTAATCGATTACATTAGTTAAAAATGCACATATCTGATGCTTTTAATATGTTGTAATCGATTACGATTATAGTGTAATCGATTACATCATGCAAAATACACAGGTCTGATTAGTTTATAAGCACGTAATCGATTACCAGGATCGTGTAATCGATTACACTGTTAAAAATGCACATATCTGATGCTTTTAATATGTTGTAATCGATTACGAGTATAGTGTAATCGATTACATCATGTAAAATACACAGGTCTGATTAGTTTATCAGCATGTAATCGATTACCAGGATTGTGTAATCGATTACACTGTTAAAAAAAACAGAATCTCACAGTGTCAACAGCCCAAAATTGCCATTTCTCGCCCAGGCGAGACAACTCTCGCTCAGGCGAGAATCCTCCAGTATAGTCCAGGATTTCACCCTCCCAGGTGATCCTTTCTCGCTCAAGCAAGAATCTCTCGATCAAGCGAGGCTTCCAGGACTGATACTATAATTTTAAAGATTAAAATTTGGGGTGTTACAGTTTTCATATCAAACGGAAAGTAATTATATAAGAACCTTTCCTTATACTCCTTTTGACGCTTTCATATTCCCTTGTTCCATCTGACACTTTGTATACTCTCACCAATTGTCTGTTTCTTTCACCAACATATAGGTAGCATAGGTGACCTTTTATTCTTAAGTGCACATCATGGCTCGAAAGATCCTCTATAGCTCTTGGATCCAATCATTGGCTGCATCAGGGAAAAACCCTCCTTCAAACTTCGATACGTTGCGCTTAAAAAATTCATCCAGTCCAAGGTACGTTGTTGGTCCTTGGGCTTGTTGTTGTTGTGCATCCTGATTGTTCATTTGGTGCAGGTCAGCGTTCACATTTTTTATTGCTTTCGTCATAACAACCATAAAGTCTATGTTAGAAGTTAATCGTCCAGCCATTGTCAGTCTACTAACAACAGACTTTAGTATGACTCACTTCTCATACCGACTCAAACACGTTAGAGATACTACAAGCACTCAGACTAAACATTCACGAAACAAACAGAGTTGCAGAAGAAAACATATAAGGCGACCTAGGCCTGATAGGATTGACCTTGCTCTAATACCACTTAATGTAACGCCCCAAAATACTAACCAAAAATAATATTCTTATTAAAAATAATTTATTGGAGAAAT